CTGAGAAGAAGAATGAGAGATGACAGTAGCAATGTTAATTTGAAGGCGAGGATGGTTAATTCAAGAAAAACCTTGTTGCTCGAGGCCAATGTGGATAAGCTGATAGTTGCATTGGCGACGCTGGAGGATGATGAATGCATCAAGGACCTTAGTTCTAGCCCAAAAAAAATTGTACGACAACTGAGATCTTGTCTTACTGATTCAGTTGAAACGAGCTTGACAGCGAGAAGGCTTATGGTCTCGGTTGTCTAAAACAATACATTCAGAGCACATTATATACGCATTTCTAAGTTTCCAAATAAGTGAAATTAATTAACCCACTACCAACTTTAAATTTTAATCTCATCAATATAGTAACAACATATATGTTCAAATGAAAGTGACAAAAGAAAAAAACCAAATAGTAAAACTTTATTTTTAATATCACTCAACACAGAATTAGAAAGTGAATGACACGTCTTGAAAATTAAGAGTTGGACTGCATATGTTAAGCCAGGATCATCTTAAAAACAGTCAATGCTGCAAGCATCCACCCAAAAGATTTAAAGGTAGAGATTTTAGAGGCTCCTGAAGATCCCGGTTTTGGAGGAGGTAAAGGAGAGGGTGCTGCTGCTTCAGATACATTGATCACAAGCTTCATCCTCTTCGTGCAGTGATCCTCAACCGCACAAATGTACCACTTCTTCCCTGGTTTCGCAAGGGTAATTACGTCGTTTCCGCTGGTCAGAAGACCAGTTGTGTTTGATGTCAAACACTTTCGGAAATCAGATCCATTCACTTTCAAAACATTGTGAGATGCCTTATCGTACATGAACACTGCACCCAAAATAAGATTAAAAATTAATAAGGGAGTGGATCTATATGAACATCAAAAAATGTCGTATCAGAGATGAATCTATTAATAATAAAATTGGCACGCATAGAAAATTGGAAAATGAGGTAGGATGGGGGATAAGGGGACACAAAACAAGGGACTTAACATACTCAGTGTGTCTCCAACGTAAAACGTTTTGTCTGCAGCCCATTGAGTGTAATTGACACCCAGTTTCCAGCCATCATTTTCTCCAACCATATAATAAGCTGCCATAGTTGGAGCAGCAACCGTTGCAAAGAAAACTGCGATCAAGAAAGCTTTCGAGGCCATTTTGAAACCTTAATTTACCAGAAAAGATTTTCTAGTTAATTCTCGTGTTTGTTAATGATAGAGGATGCTTTCATGGTGCTTAAACGTTATTGCATTTATAGTGGTAATGATGGTAAGATACCTGCCGGCGAACAGGGTCCGTCATAGCGTTATGCTCCAAGAAATTTCCCCAAACAATGTAATATGGCATTACACAATGTAATTGCACGGAGTTGTCACACAATGTAATTGCATGGAGCTGTCCAATTTGTCTTATACAAGACTTGGTCAAAACAATATTATACCCAGAAATTAAAATACATTTGTTGTGTTATAAATTACATTTTTTTTAGTCAAAGTCATGAAATCATTTAGTCATATAGACTCTTAAAGTTAGCCTTAATGATAGGTCTACTACCTAAAGGTTCCAACTCACACCCATAATCAACAAATATGGATCCACTTGTGTGATTTAGGATGGATCATGTCATGTTGCCTCTAGGAAGCCAAGTTGTGGCACAATTACACGTTAGGGTGTTGGCAAAAAATACCTTACATCATGATTAAACACAATTAGACAATTTTGTAAAGAATCGTAGAATAAAAAATCAAAATTTATTCTCTTTAAATTTAACGTCAGTTATGTGATATTTCTTCACCAATACGCGTGCGCGCGCGCACACACACGAATTTGATCTCCTAAGTATCGATGTTTAGTATACTAAGCACCATGTTTAGGTGGCATACTATAATAGGTGGTGTAATTAGTTTTAAAACCAACCACTATGTTTCGCCACGTATTGTTGTGTGCCACGTCACTCGATGCATAATATAAATTAAGCACCGATGCTTAGAAGATCGTGATTGTATATATAATGGTTTAAAAAAAAAAATTCCTACAATAGATGATATTAGTTTTGTTCTTCTAACTTGTTCTCTTGTTTATGAGATTCTCTTTGTTAACTCAGAATAGCTTTGTAAATATCTTGTCGGACCACATTCCAAAAATTTTACAAATATTGTTGCTTAGTATTTGATTGAAAAGTTACACAATTTTAATAACTATATTATAAAGTTGATGATATATAGAAAAATTATTATTTGAAGATAATCATAATTCCTTTAGTGCATATGTGAAATGAGGGAACAAAATCATAG